GTGAAACAAAAGTCTACCATTGCGTGCTAGCAGGAATCAGCCTGACTATTTACGTAGTAATTATCAAAAATGGTTCATTGAGCAAAACTTCAAGACAAAATACTGGACAGTCCCTTCAAGATGACAGGAATAAGACATTCAGTGATGGCTCATTTGGCAAGCAGCAATAATCTTAATGATGTTCTTAGTGCTAAAGAAAAGTGTACAAGCTCCTTGTAAAAGAACTCATTAACAAGAAAGGCTGCATGCCTACAAAACACTATTTTCAGTGGTGAAAATAGGATTTGAAAAATGATAACTTTTAACAGTACGTGTTATCTAATGCCACCAAATCGAACAATAAAACAAGAGGAAAACAAAGAGCTGTCTGACATCTAAAATTCAGTACTGGCAACTTGAGATAAGGACAGCAACAATGTTACAAAGGTTGTTATTTCTTGAGAACTAATGCATTCAAACATTAGATTTAATAATACAGAACACATGTTACCCTCAAGTTCAAATGAAGCATGTATCCTGAAATTTTTCATCAAAATTACAGATTAACATCAAAACCACAGAATTCCTTTATCCCTAAAAGAAGTCCCATAAATTTTCAAAGAGTTTATACATCATTAGGCCATAGAGTAAAACTCCAGAAGTTTGGAACAGTCTCTGGAACAACATTTAACGATTTCTTGCTGACTGTGAAAACACATAACATTGATCACAAGTTTATCCAAAACAAAAGGAGTGGGGATCTAACAGTGTGTGGAAACAATTTTCGGATACTGGGAACGTCCTGACACTATACAGTGAAGACCAAGTTGTATTGCTATAAAATTACCACAACTCAATAGGTCCTACTGATATAAACGTGTCTTCTGAATGTTGGATCACTCTTACAGTTAGTTACATATTTTGAAGTCACATTCGATGCAAAAAAAATATGACAACACTGAAAAACTTGAGAGTGAGATCAAACAGTTTGTTCTCTACTTGACTTTACTTTCTTGTCTAACCTCTCTCTAACTCTCTAGAAAAATAGGAGGAAGCAACTCTACATGCTGACAGTATAACTAAGACAGGATATGCTCAAACATTTCCATTTCTACTAAATGCCTTTAAACAACAACCAGAATTACCTCTAAAATAGTAACTATTTCCTTAATTCACTGACCCATTATTTCAGTCTTCACTACCAAATTTGAAACAAAAATTCTGTGTGAATAGTCCATCCATTCCGAATTTTTTACGCAAGCCCATTTACAAGATAAATGCCATACAAAATGATAGGAACAACAACAACAACAAAAAAACCCATCCTAAGACCAGTTCTGATCGCTAGTTCATGTATAGTTACAAGAGTTATCAATCTACAAAAACATTGTCAGGGCATTAAAGAAAGTATCTCAACAGATTCCAATTGAGTTATATGGTTAGCCATATACAGTGGCAAACTTCTGTACAACTTTTTCCAACTCTAATACATGAACAAAGGACTCGTAACATATTTTCATTGCCATTTTCTTTATCACCTTCATCAAATTTGCATAAATATTCGCTCAGAGCCAGACCAGCTCATATTTCTTCAACAACATTACTTTGTGACACCTAAAACATGAAGGAACAAGTTTATCACCTCATTCTAAACCATATATAACATGAAACAGCATTATTATATCTAATCCTTTTCTGCATAATGACGATGGACAGTGACACAATATGCATAAGTTCAGACCACCTTCGTGTTGACCTGATGTTTCAATTGTATTGGGCTTTGACTATTGTTATAACCACAGGAACATATACATGATATATTGGAAGAACAATGAGAGTCATTTCACTGCAACAACTCTGTACTAACATTCACATAACACTGTACAGAGTCACTTCACCACAGGCTAAAAAAACCACATCAGCACAGGACAATCACAGAGTGGAGAAACAAGCAGGATAAGAACAAGAGGCCAGAACCACCGGAGTCGACAATCAAAACAAGGAGGCCTACAGTGAGGGAAAAATTTGATCACTTATGTGACCACACAACACTAGTTTGTTCTGGAGATAAGACATAGCCAGATGCAAGAGTCCGCAACATCATGTACAAGAACTGAACATACCTACGAAGAAGTTTCAACACATTTTACTGTCTCAATATGTTCCTTTAGCCTACTGAAAAAAAAATATAAGAAAATAATGCACTTTTCGAGTTAGGCTCTCTGTAACTTTTTTACATACCTTTTTTAAGTTACTTTTATGGGTGGTAAAAAAGCAAAGCAAGTGCACCTACTGTCCCCAACCTCATCAGTACCAGAAAAAAGTAAAACTTCTTTCTAAAGAGAAACGTTAAACTTTTAATCATTATGATAATAATAATAATAACAATAATAATTGCATTTATACAATGCATGCCCATGCTCTACAGCATAAGCAGCTCAATGCACATTACACCTATCAAAAGTTAGAAAAGTAAATAGACAAACAATTCACAAAGATGTCAGTGCGTAGACCACAGGAGGTTGCAAAATGCAAAACATCTTGCTTTACATGAAAAGCCATTAATACATATGAAATTCTTACAACCCTACCTTTCCTCTTTAACCCTTTCGTTGCCAGGGGGGTATGCATTCCTACTGTCAGCGCTTATTTTCAGCTGAGCTCGTTACCCAGGACAGCAGACTAATGTCCCAGTGCTAAAGGACGTGTGGTCTAGATCTAGCGTACTCGTAACATATTTCGGACACCGGGTCTTCAATTGTTTTACTTTTCTCACTTTTCTTATTCTCTATTTCCTCCTATCTTACTCCTAATTTCGAATAACCTGCAAATATAAGTCAAAAAGTGAATTAATTTGCCTTTTTAAAGTTATTTCGATGTTTACATTTAACGAGAGCATGCGGCCGCCCGCAAGCCTAGATCTATGTTTATCAATCGCTTGCAAGCCTAGCAGTAAAGAAATACTAGCAACTAGCAAACTTGGTACCGATATGCTCGTCTTTTATTCCCGAATACGAATCTACGCAGCGCTTGTGGCTAAAACTCTGTACAGAAGAATTAGAGCCAGGTTATTTGCCTGCCGCTCATGTAACGTCATATAAACAACCAGGAGGGGCAAATTTTCGCCAACTTCCGTGACGTACCGTTCATAGTGCTAATAATAACGCATTTTCAAGACATATATAAAGCAATGAAGGGGTTAAAAAAAAGTTCATCTGAACTTCAGAAAAGTCTTACTCATTTATTAAATGATTTGTTCATGATGACCTCACAACAATGACCCTTGCAGAATCTCCATTACCAGATGCCTTAGCTTATGAATGGACAAGGTACACTTTCCTCAATCAAATTCAACAATCATGAAGTTGAAGCATGTTTCACGCTCACAATACTCTATTACCCTTGGTAAATAAGTGTACAAATTCTGACCCCTGGCAAAAGTTAAACAGAGCAATTAATCTAAACACAAATCTGAGAAAAGCAAAATATATTTGGCAAGGTCTGAGGTACAACAAAGTGACAAGTACAGAATATCAGTAGTCTACGCCGAAGCATCTTCTACATCACTATCATCCCCAACTAAAATCCTGCCAAAGCTACAGTCCCAATACAGTTACTATTATGATTTGTTCATCCTTCCATATCAGTTTCCAAAACTTTTTTCTTCTTAAATATCTGTACCTCAGCAAACTGAGGAGGAAAATACTTAAGACTAGTTTTGCAAAGACTTCTACGTCCAAAACTTTGCTGGACTTGTACCGTGGAAGTCAAGTTATTACACACTCTGAGAAATGATAAACACTATCTAAACACTACATGGCACTAACCTCATCCTATTTACTAATCAACTGCTTCTCTAGGTAAGTGCCTTTTTGACAAGGGCATTTGGAACAAGAGCAAGAAACACAAAATGCAAGTTTTTCACTCATCACATAGAGAAATTACATCTATATTTCTTTCATTCTGAAAATCAATATCATTGCATGTAGTCCACAGCACTGAAAGGCGAAACATAAAGAGTGTTGTAACAAGCACAAAAAAAACAACATGAGAGTATATACATACATATAATGTCCTGACTTATACTTTGAAACATCACAAATGAATGAAAAAAACAAAAAAAACAATCAAAACAATCACTTTCTGGAATACAATTAATATTCAACACAAAAGAAATTTCTGTGTCAAAAAATGTACAGGATTTTCACCCAAATACCAACTTACCAGAAGAACAATTGTACAAGAGCAAGCTTTCTACTCTATTTGTGACACATATGCTAATACTGTCGGGAACCAAACTTCTGGATCTTTTAGTACATAAACACACCTAACTGGTTACTGCAAGATATACAGAAATCCTCATGGCAATGAGGACAAAGTCAGCAAGGACAAGAAGAGATTTCACATGTTCATTTCATTCCTCAACATACAATCAGTTCAACATTGAATGGTCCCACTGATTCATCAACTTGTGCATTTCTGTGAACAGATTTTAGTGATGTTACATTTTTTTAGATGACTATGCACAATGAAGCTGCAGAATGGCACAAAAGGAACAGGATCATTTCTATACACAATATGCAGCAATTGAAAACAAAGTCCCTGAACCAAGCAGTAGAACAAAACAGCCTTAGTACAAACACTGGACACTGAATGGACACTCAGCTGCTGCAATCCTCTTACACGTCAAAGGGTATACGAGTGCATCATGGCGAAATCAGGCCCTCTTCAAAATGATGATTTCAAAGAAACTGACACTTTTCTGTCTATTGGGAAATTTTTATCATTCTTTTTTCATTTTCGGCTCAAATCTTGTTGTATTCATTAATAAACATGTTTTGTGGATTTTACTGACATTGATCAAAGGCACAAAAAAGTAAATTTGCAGTTTCCAAGGACCTTCAAGCTTTGAAAGTCACCAAACTTTGGCTGCCATTTTCTCCCTATTTTCACCTCTGAAACTAGGCAACCCCATCTTTCTTCAATCTCAAATATCTCGACTTTTATCCAGGATAGATGGGTTTTTTTTTTTTTTAAGCAAGACAAATGAGCAAGCTTTAAGATTACACCAATAACTCCACATGCACTAAAACTGACGAGAGCCTGATTCCGTGTCCTGACACATTATGTTACCGGTTGAGCAAGAAGCAGTGTAGCGAGGAATCTACAACTTTGCCCAAAGCTCAGGACGGATAATCTTTTTCAAATCAGGTTTCATCCTCTCCATCTATTCACTATAATATATATAGAAGTGTGGGGAGGAAGCCTCTGCCTACAGAACACCAAACAAAACTTGACCATTAACTTTCAGCAGACAGAGTCTACAAACAACATGAGCTGAAAAGTCTGCACGATGCCAACTAGCCAGAACCAAGTATTCCCTTCTCAACAACCTAGCTCTACCATGGCGGAATGTCGTCCCACACTCTACACAACTACTGGAGCAAGTGTAATAAAATCACTAGTCCAAAAAGATTCAGAACCCAGGACAAGCAATCTGTCCTCCATTCTGATATATAGGACAACTGATCAGAAACTTTGACGCCAACTAACCGGACCTCTTGGTAACCACATTCAGCAAGTACACAATAAGGACTAACAAAAATAAAAGCAGCCTTTAGCATGAACAAAGAGAATTGTTCCACAGAACAAATTCATTTTAAGCACAAAATAAGACAAGCTAAAGGCATATCTACGAGACAAAAGCTTGCAAAGCTATAGAAAATGAAAAATTATGCCTCAGTCGTGAGAATCTTGGTGAACATATTACCAAACTAATTTAATGGGAATGAATAATATATGAGTACATCACAACTTTGTTTGCTCAATCAATTTGGCAACATGCATATATACATAATATATCGATATTCATATATATATATATATATATATAACTGTGAAAGACTCAAATTTTAACATGAAAGGGAATAAGTTATAATAGATATCATTTTCAACAAAGTGTCCAGAGAAAGGTAAATGCCTGAGACCCTATGCAAAACAAACGCTTAAAAAATATTCTTTTCATAAATACGTTTTTCAAGAAAAAAAGTATTACAGTATAGGCTATAGGGGAAAAAAAATTTTCAACAATATTCTGTTCAGCATGCGTGTGAACAGTTCAGAAAAGCTCAACCTGAAAAACTGTACAAAGCTAAGGAAGTCTAAGAAAGCACACAGCTCACAAACCATTAGACTTGCAAGAAATCAAGCAAAGGGAAAAGGCGCAAAACAAGAGAAGGAAAGAAGAAAAAATGGAAATCACAATACTGTTTACTAAAGTAGTGTGGTTCTTACATTTCATCAACGTACAACTATATATTGTCAAACATATGTTCAATTGCAGCATTTCCACTTCAATCCTGAAGACCAAATTGCGGTGCTTCTACATTACATTAATCTCTAAAGATCAGTGGCAGCCATTTTCTATCAACTCTTGAAGAGCTCTGAGTATTCTGTGAGCATAAACTCCACAATCTTGCTCTGGACCACTGTCTGCACAGCCAGGCTGGCTGCATCCTCGTTGTACCACAGCAAGGTGGGCCCAAACACAATGGCCACATTCTGGGTCTGCATGCGATTCTCATGGCTTACTTCAATCACCCTGCACAGATTGAGAAACAGAGTGATGAGATTTCAGGGATTAATTTGATTTAAAATTGAATACAACTCTAGTTAGAACACGCATTACATTTGCTCATAAATATCACCTTGAAATTTTATTTGACTAAGAGAAAGTAAAGAAAGCAGCATCTCCGCTGTATATCACCTTTATCATATCGCCTCCATATCATCACAATAAATACAGCTACAGCAGTACAGCTATTTACTGATTTCGGTAAAAAGCAAATACTGGGGACAAACCTGCCCAGAGGTCACAATTCCTTTTGTCTTTTCATTTTTACTCTTAGTGCTATGTTCTGATGGGACATTAAATGCTCAATCTTCAGAATAACTCACTCAAAAATAAAAAAAGATTTTCAAAAACCCCTACTGCGAACTCAAGCACACTTTCAAAAGTGGATTCACTTCACTGTTTTTAGCGGTAATAGCAGAGCACTTGATTTCTATATAAACAGTCCAACCTGCTCTAACAACCACCTGTCCAAAACAATCACCAGCACAAAAGACCATTTCCCCTTTGCTTTTTTTTACTATATTAAAATGACACTGTCCAAGAGGACCGCCTGTCTAGGATTGCCACTTGCCTCTTCAAAAATTAGTGGTTTTCTTGGACAAGCTCGACTCTACTTCAAAAGAAGAATTATATTTCACAATCTTTCTATTTTACCGAGATGGACTTTCATTAAAATTTTGCCACCAACAAATTTGATGCTACTGTCAAACACTTATGTCTTGCTTTCTACTCTATTTCTTGCTTTAGTTTAAGTAAGAGTTTTATGACATTTGCAACACAATATGGTCATATAAGTGCATTAGGGTGTTACAAGAGAGTAACAAACACAAAAAAGGAGGTGAAATAAGGACACAAGAGCACCTGTCAACCATCAATGTAAAACTTACTTGCATAAATGCTGAAACAACTCTTTAAGAGTGAAGTAGTTACACCGTGGTAGGTCAGAAACAGCAGACTTGAAAGCATGCATTTTTTCCTTTCTTGGCTCTTTTCCTGGGGAGCAATACCAAGACCATGAGACTAAACGTAATACAATTGATCAAAAGAAAAGATTTACACAACACAAACTAAATTTGACATGTTCAGCAGAGAACTTAAACTAAATCTAAAACCAAAAGAGGTAAAAAATTACAATCTTACAATGTTCCATCCTTCTTCGCTAAACACCACCCCCACTACCCCTCCCAATTGCATTTCCCTTCCCTGCCTCCCAGCAAGAGCTCATAAATGCACCTGTTAACAGCCACATCAATACGAAAAAGAACATTTATGAGGTGGTCTGCTTTCATCCAGTGCAGTCAGGGCTAACTTAGGCTGAGTGGGATACTGCATCCCAGCAGAAAGATGGGAAACACCCGATAAAAAGACTTCCCACACATGATACAGGAAACAAACATGTCTTTTACACGTACCCATTCCACCATAAAACCAGACTATAGGCTCCTTCTGCATTCATAGAGTAAAGCAAAACATAAAATAATACCTTGTCTCTTTTTAGAGTAAACATTAATCTCGGGCATCCTCTCGTCAAGGAACATCAATAAGAGAAAACGATCTTGAAATAGCTCCATTGCATATAACTTAACAACATCATCTAAAAAGCAAGCCTAACAATCTTATCACAAGGCCACTATAACCACATTTCTGTATAAAAAATAAACAACTTCCATAACTCTAATTTCCCAGTTAAACTAATGAAAGCAATGACACTTACGAACGGCATCGAAAAACCTGTTGTACATATGGAAAGGGAAGACTGGCTCCTTGAGTTCTCTGAAGAAGAGCTTGAGGGCACCAGTGAGCACATGCACATCCCACTGGCGGTCATACAGGTTGTAGCTGTCATCTGTACACAGGCAAAAACAGAGAGAGAGAGGCTTCATGAACAGAGAAATAATTCTTTATTTGTTTGAGTTTGAGTAAAGTAAAGCTGGATCGCTAACAACAACAACTGGAGTAAAGTAAAGCAAATTATCACAATAATAGTCATCTATAGCAGGGAAGAAGCAAGACCGAAACAACAGACGGAAAGAAAAGAAGTAGGACCTATTAGTGGTGCCCTCAAACCACTTTACCTCATTTTGTTCAAAGGTAAGTTTTAGTTTTAATAAGAGTTTTACCACTTGCAACACAATATAAGTGCCGAAGATTTAGTTTAGTTTTATTAGAGGTTTTACGGCGCTCGCAACTGCATACGGTCATATGAGCGCCAGAAGATTAGAGGTGTTACAAGAGAGTAGTAGTAGTATAAGGTTTTACGGCGCTCGCAACTGCATACGGTCATATGAGCGCCAGAAGATTAGAGGTGTTACGTAAAAAAGAAGGGGAGATAAGGATGACAGATGTTCGATAGGAAAGAAGAAGCAAACCACACCAGAACACCCGCCAACCATCCACGTCAAAGATTTGAAGAGTTACAAGACAGTAACAAACACAAAAAAGGAGAGATAAGGACAATAGATGCTTGATAGGACAGAAGGAGCAAACCACACTAGAGCACCCACCAACCACCAGCTTTCACAGGTAAACAGCCACAAAGAAAGACAGAAGACATCACATAGACAGACATAAAGTCTGGGAGACAGATAAATGCATAAAGAGAGAAAAATACATATATAAAAGACAAACAAATAGACAGACAGTCAGGCAAGTTCATACATCATCTCTCAAGCTCAAATTTAGGATGTTCCAATGAGCACATATCTTAAACTACTTAAGCCCTACTTCAGATTTAATTCATTTTTAAAGGACGTAGACATTTTGTTCCATTCAGATAAGAAGTATGATGGTCAAATCAAGTGCTTATTGCTTCTTCTTCATTGAAACCGAGAGGAAAGCAGACTTGTTTCAATAATTGGGACCATTGGCAAATGGTAAGAGAGGGTTATCATCCAATAAACACTTCACTGAGTTCCTCAAAAGAAAACATATTTCTTTTAATCCATTTTGAAAAAAAATCAGAAAAGAAAATTCTCAAGTAACTGAGCTGACTACCTATAACAGAATACATGTCAAACAAAAGAGAAAAACAAAAACGGATTAGCAAATACGGTGAACAAGGAAAACAAGGATAGTAAACAACATCGAAATTCATATTTTTCAACAACAGAATCAGGTTCTTTTATTCATACCTTTGTCTACAGCACAACGCAATCTCTGGATTTCTGCTAAGTTCCCACTGACACGGTACAGTCCATCATGTGTGAGGCCTGATAATGACACAAAATTAAATATGAGATGAGAATCTACATGCAAAAACAAAAATGGGAAAACAGCAATGACTGCATTATCATGAAGAGTTCCAAAGACTGATGAAACAAATTTTACTGGTCACACTTCAGTTATGAAAACTGGACAAATTGTGAAATAGTACAAAAGGATCCTTTTTTCCTCATTTCTACAATAGGAACAGCCAAAGTAATTACTAACCCTACTCTCTTACACGGTTACAATTACATTGATGTGCTTGCATTATAATCCTATTTAACAGGTCACGATGGTCTTTGATAACGCACTGAAAGGGCGGTAAGTCCATGGCTAGATAAGAGTGTCGGGCAAAGAGAAAGGCAAAATTTACTTACCTCTAGACTCCACTGCTGCCACACACTGATGTACAAATTTTGGCACAGGAACTTTTTCTCGATCACACAATTCATGCAAGAGAGACCCAAACACAGCATCTGTTCATAGAATAAACCAATTTGGAAACATGCTACTTTTTTACAAAAGAATAACAAAATTCATCTCTTCTATTTCACAATAACTTTTTCATGTAAATTAAAAGGCAAGGATAAAAAAATTATGACAATAATGTAGATTATTTTTAATAACGTGCTCTACCATACAATACAACTCTAGACCCCTTACAATGCCTAACTTAACCATAATGTTGCATACGCAAACACATGCACACACATGCCATATATACACTCTTTAGATAAACGCTAAGACATAAGGAGACATTCATACTATCACAACACATTTAATGACGATATGCACATAACATTATGAACATAAGAGTACTATGAATAAGAAAGAATAATAATCAAGATGGCATTTCAAGAAGTATGATTTTAAAAGAATTTAAAATTTTGTCTCTGACTTCGCATTGTCGATTGAGGGAAAGAATTCCAGATAGATGGAGCTACAAGGAAATTAATATTCTTGATTAATATTCTTGATGGAATTTCAAGCTCTTGGAATTGTCTTGTGAGCAAGATACATGACATCTATACCTTTCATTTTACAGTGGGTTTTTCTTTTAACGTTTATTTGGACACCAGAATTTCTTCTTTTTTTTTTCTCTTTGGGGTTTATGATTCTTTTTACAGTCGAACCTGCCTTAACGGAAACCTGTATAAAACGGAAACCTGTCTTAACGGAATCTCCCCGCTCCCCCCTTGATATATTCCTCTTTAATTACCTGTATAATACGGAAACCTGCCCAACGCGGAAACGGAAAGAAAAATCCGCTCCCTTCCGAGGGTTTCACCTGTCTAAGATAGAAAATGCTTTGCCCACTCAGCCTTGATTTGAAACAAAACTCACAACATTAGTTCCGTCGGCTCTAAACTTAATGCAATGGCCATGCCGCTGGGGAAGGAAGGGGAATACGGGTGCAATTTGGGGGTAGATGTGACCCCATCATATGAGCCCTGAGCGATGCAGATGGTCAGTGGAGTGTGGGTGTGAAATCTCACGACTACCCGTTAGAGTGCTCGAGTAGCGACCCACTACAGAAATTTCCTTGGTAGCCAGAAGCCAGAGGTGTGAAATTAGATTGACCAATGCCTGCCGCCCTGATCGTTGGACCAGCCGAGAAAAGAGTTCCTTGAATCGATGTTACACTGATGGCAGTGAGGAGTGACATTGGTGGGTGGGGCTAAGGGTGGAAGTAAATAGCAATGCCCACCGAGCGCATTTTGTTCTGCAGATTTTTGGCCCCCGCCGCGGGGGTGTTTCGTGGGACGCACTAACGCAAAGGTTGTTGTCTTCAACTCACTCTCACGCCGCTTCTCGTGAATGGATATGAATGAAACTTGGCAGCCAATCAGAAAAGAGGTCAATCTCGTAGTATGCAGTTTGACAACATTGTACCCATCCTAGAAGCAGTCGAAAACGTTTGTGAAAGTGGTTGATGTGGTGCGCTTCGA